AGGAACATCCATGTAGTGGTCTAGGAACGAGTTGTTTTGTTCAGGGTCGAGAAGTTCGAGCAAAGCAGAAGACGGATCGCCCTGGTGGCCCCGCCCAATTTTGTCAACCTCATCGATCAAGATTAGAGGGTTTTCGGTTTGACACTTCTTGAGAGCTTGGATAATGCGTCCAGGCAGAGCACCGACGTAAGTCCGTCGGTGGCCTTTGATCTCTGCCACATCGGTCAAACCACCGACGGAGAACCGGTAGTATTGTCTGTTCAGAGCACGAGCTATCGACTTGCCAATGCTGGTCTTTCCAACACCGGGTGGGCCAACCAGGCAAAGAATCTTCCCTTCGACAGTTCCACGAAGCTTGCCAACAGCGATGAACTCAAGAATACGATCCTTGACATCTTTCAGCCCGTAATGGTCCTCATCGAGAACACTGACTGCGTTCTTGACGCCAAAGTTTTCCACGCTCTTCTGGCCCCAGGGGATTTGAGTTAGCCAGTCTAGGTAGTTACGAGTGACATTGAATTCGGATGCGGCAGGCTCTAGGTGTGCCAGCTTGTTGATCTCCTCGTCGAAGACCTTCTTGACAACCTCGGGCATGGCAAGCTTTTCAGCCTTCTCCTTGAACTTTTCGACAAGCTTGTCTTTCCCGTCAGACTCGATGCCAAGTTCTCTCTTAATGCCCTTCATTTGCTCCATCAGCCAGTATTCGCGCTGGCGTTTTTGGATCTTGGCCTCGACATCTTTGGTGATCTTAGATTGCAGTTGAGCGTTCATCAATTCCTTCTTCAGAACGACAAGTGCCTTAGGGAGACGCTCCTCGATGTTCATTGTCTCAAGGACTTCTTGCATCTCGTGGAGCTCACCGGCAGATACAGCGGCAGCGAAATCAGCCAATTTGGCCGGTTCGTCGCTGAGGTTTCCTGGGAATTGATCGGTGTAAAATGCAGAGATTTGATCGCGGAACAAGGGGTTCAAGGTTGCGATCTCTTTGCATACATTAACAATTTCACTAGTCACCGCGCGGATTATTGGGTTTTTCTTGTCGAACGGCTCTTCAATCAAGTTTTCCACGTTGACAAGGCTGACAGGGTGTCTCTTCAGGAAGGATGTTGGTTCGTAATGGTCTTTCGGAGCTGGCTCGGGTGCGCTTTCTTCGAAGCTGGCCACAACATCACCTCGCTTTTCGGTCGTTTTGTCTTCTGACGGAAGTGCGGTTGGGGGTGTAGCGGCCTTGATATTCTCTCCAGGGGGAAGTAGCGATGAGATCTTGATACGCCGGTGGGGATAAAGAACCGCTGTCACACCGCTAGCTTCTCCACGGAGAGGGTATGCGGCGGTAATTTGAGCGAAAACTCCAGTGTCGTAAACGTCGTCCAATTTCTCAATCACGTCACCATCGGCGTTGTCATCCTTAAACAAAAATGCTCCAACATATGGCTGACCCCGTTTCATCATATCTTGGATCGCAACGGCAACATTCGGGTCGCGAATAGTGATCGCTTTGTAAAAACCAGGGAACAACGGGCGTTTCGCGATGGGAATTGCCATCACCTGTGGGTAAACCTCCGGGACTGCCGGCTTTTGTAAAGCTTTTTCCCCGGAGGCCTTCTTGCCCTTTTTCCCACCATCGTCATTGCCGCTATTACCACCACTGCTTGCGCCGCTGGGTTTGGACTCGGCCGGGCCATCACTTGGTGGGATGGGCGAAGGTGTGTCATTCGAGTTCCCCTTGCCATCTGATGCATTGGCTTCTTTCTTGGCTTGCTCTTCCACTAGACGCTCTTTATCGGATGACCGGTCTTTTCTCCGCGCGGGAGCTACCTGATCTGCTGAAGGAACATTCTTCCCCGAGTCGGCTCCCTTCCTCCGCGATTCAGGAGCCCCTCCCGTTTCCTTATCATTCTGGCTGGTTTCGCGCTCTGCCTTCTCTTCCGATTCGTCTTTAGGGTCCTCTGGCGGGGGTTTCTCTCTCCGCCGAATGGAGCTCGCAGAGAAGGCTCGCGAAGACGAGGGAAGAGAGTCGCCAAGGCGGACCGAAACTAGGGTTGATCGAAAGGTTGCATTGTATCTCGGTGAAGCAAGAAACGGCCGTCGGAGAAGAGGTCGTGGCGTTTGATGGAGTACAGCTCTCCAGGGGAGGGTCTGGCCGCGGAGCATGCTCCTTGAGTATGAGGTGGGCGCCTGGGCAATGGAGTGAAGGAAATAAAAAAGGATATAGCGAAGAACCGTGACAGCCCGTGGCACAGCTCTAAAAGGACAGCAATAAGTATTAGAAATGGGTAGAGTGAAAGCTGGAATTCCGTAGCCGGACCTCGTGAGCACCCGTGGACCCAGTTATTGCTTCGGTAAGCAACTCTTTCATCATCGTCCGGCCCCACGTTTTTCCGAGAAACTTCTCTCTGCCAGAAGAACTCGAAGCTTCTGTGATCCGGAGAATAGCTCAACTTGGTTTTGAACGTCATTGGTGCTCTTCTTTCTCTTGTTCAAATTGTCATTCTTTAAAAGATTCTTGATAATTTTTGCTCGCATATCTATCTCCCTTCATCCTCGCAGCCACAACTGCCGTCCAACGGTTGTTCGGCTATTATTATCCATGAATCCATCCACGGCATTCCCCAAGGCCGCGGCTCTCCCCGCGCGTCTGTTGCGAACCCAGCGACAATGCCCTAAGCAGACTTCCGGCAATAGCGTTCACTCGTCCACCCAAACAAGAAACTACCATGCAAATGTCTCTGCTTCTCCGGCTAGGCGCCTCCGGGAGGGCGTTTGCAAGAGAAAGGAATCACTAGTGATATCGGCTAGGGTACGTCGCCTCTACGGGCTGTCAGAGTGAAGGTTGCTAATTAACATATGTTTTTTGATTGACAGGCCTTCCACACTACCTCTCCTCTTGCGGCTGTTCCCGACCCTTACAAAGTCCTCGGCGTGGATAGGAAAGCATCCGCCGGCGACATAAAGAAGGCCTACTACGGCTTGGCCAAGAAGTACCACCCGGATACCAACAAGGATGCCCAGGCCAAAGACAAGTTTGCCGAAGCCCAGACAGCTTACGAATTGCTATCCGATGCCCAGAAGCGAGAGAACTATGACCGGTATGGTTCGGCAGCTTTCGATCAGAATGGCGGGTTCAATCCAAACGCTGGGGGCAGCCCATTCTCTGGTGCGGGAGGATTCCATGGCTTTGGCGGCGGTTTCGGCGGCGGTGGTAGTGCTGGCTTTGGCGGGGGCTTTTCCGGCGACATTAACTTTGAGGATCTTTTTGGAGCCTTTACCGGAGGAGCGCGCCGTGGGCCTCGGGGCGGGCGCAACCCTTTCCAGGAACAGATTTTGGTCGGTGAAGACATTGAGGTGCAAACAAACATCTCGTTCATGGACGCAGCGAAGGGCACGTCTCAGGAAATCGTCATCACGCCGTTGACCAAGTGCGGAACCTGCAAAGGTGACGGACTGAAGTCTGGTGCCAAAAGGTCGCAATGTCGTCAGTGTAATGGCACAGGTACCCGCGTTCATCTCATGCAAGGAGGCTTCCAAGTCGCCGCCACGTGTGATGCCTGTGGAGGTGCCGGTATGTCCGTTCCCCGGGGGTCAGAGTGCAGCCCTTGCAACGGAAGTGGCGTGATCCGAGAGCGCAAGACTATCAAGGTCGACATCCCCGGCGGTGTCGAAGATGGCATGCGTCTACGGGTGACCGGCGAAGGTGACTCCCCACCAACTGGAACAGCTGTTCCGCCTGGTGCTCGCACCCAGCCTGGTGATCTTTATGTCTCCATTCGAGTTGCTCCAGACCATCGCTTCAGCCGCTCCGGGTCCGACATTCTCTATACAGCCTCAATTCCCCTCACTACTGCTGTCCTTGGTGGTGAGGTGACAATCCCAACTCTCGACAATCAAGTGAAAGTCAAGGTCGCCACCGGTACGGGTACAGGCGACCGAATTACTTTGTCAGGGATGGGCATGAAGAAGCTTAGTGGTCGTACTCGCGGCTTCACTCCCAATGGCGACCTTAAGGTCGAATTTAAGGTCGCCATGCCCAAATACTTGACAGGCAACCAGCGCACTATTTTGGAGGTCCTCGCAGACGAGATGAACGATAAGACAGCAAAGCGGACAATGAATTTCAGCAAGGATAGGTAAGATACACAGTTCGTCGTGAATATTGGCTCTTGTACTAACTTAATCACACCGATAGCCCCTCCTCTGCTTCTGCTAGCGCCGACGACGCCGCCAAAAACGAAGGTTTCCTGAGGTCTGTATGGCATCGACTCACGGAGAAGCATGGTGATTCCTCCAAGCCATCCCAGGCTGACAGGAAAGAATCCAAAGAATCCAACAAGGACACGGAAAACAAGGATGCTGGCAGCGATGCCAGCAAGGATAGCTCGAAGAAATCGAGCTAAGAAAATGTAAATCATTATGTACTCTATATCCGTTTGTATTTACCTCACCCATGTCATAGCGCCGGCGATATTGGGGACCTGTTCTGTCCAGATCTTGGCTGCAGAATACTGTATTACTATTATCGAGTTATAGATATTAAGAAGCTCTCTACTTCTGACTATACTATGATCATCCTCGTCTATTAATTTATATTACTCAAAATTCAAATGTTTCTTTCAATGGCTGTATTCTGTACGTGTTTCTATGTCGTCCGGTTGTCTTGTAGTTTGGCGTCCATTGAGGCACGGTCACGCACATCACATTCCACATCTCCCTCGAACACTCTAACACTTCAACACTCTAGGCAACTCTTGCTCTTTTCTCAAAAATTCTCGCATTATCTCGTTGCCTTATAAACTGATTGCGTCGAAGAATACCTAATTGGCCGCCGTCATTGACACACTAGGGGCTATCAGGCGCTGACGTTCCGCCTCCCTTACCCCACAGCCTCGACTCCGATCCCCTCAGACACGGAGCTTCTGACCATCCCTGCCCCGCGTTTTTCCCTCTCACACACCTTCCGAATTGTTGGATGGGAGCATATCGCTCCTGGCAACCATCCGACAATGGCTCAGTCACCGATGCTCTCATGTCCGTTGAAGCAGACCAACGAGACTGATTGGATTCAGCCCCTCAAGGATAACATTCGACAGCGCTATAATGAGGACCCCGAGCGATACAGTGAAGAATGCGAGATTCTCAACCGGCTTCGCCAGGACATGAGAGGCGTAGGGAAAGACAGCGCTATCGGTCGGGATCTGTTGTATCGATACTACGCTCAACTGGAGTTCTTGGACCTCAGGTTCAATGTCAATGACCGCGAAGTCAGGATCTCGTTCACATGGTAGGGTATTTTCTCTTGTATATTCTGCTTATGCTAATGTATATTCCGCTTGTGCTTATATATATTCCGCTTGTGCTAATGTCTATTCCGCTTGTGCTAATGTACTTGTCCTCTAGGTACGATGCTTTCACTTATACGTCTGCCTCTCAATTCTCCATGGCCTTCGAAAAGGCATCCATTTTATTTAACCTCTCCGCCATCCTATCTTGCCATGCTGCCAACCAAAGCCGGGCCGACGATACCGGCCTCAAGACCGCCTATCACTATTTCCAGGCATCCGCAGGGATGTTTTCATATCTTATGGAGCATTTCCGAAATCCGCCATCAACCGACATGGACAAGGAAACCGTTCGCACACTGATACAAGTCACTCTAGCTCAAGCCCAGGAGGTGTTTTTTGAGAAACAAGTGGCAGATCGGAGGAAGCCTGCGCTCCTAGCCAAGCTGGCTGGAGAGGCAGCCTACCTCTACTCACAGGGTGCCGAGATAATGCAAAATTTCGTCGCCAAGAATGTGTTTGACAAGGTCTGGACGATTGTTGTGCAGGCCAAGGCAGCACATATGGGATCAGTGGCATCTTATTATCAGGCGGTTGCGGACAGTGAGAATGAATCTCATGGAATTGCTATCGCTCGTTTACAGATGGCTGATAAGCAGTCCGGCACTGCTCTAAGCTGGGCGAAGGCATTCCCCTCGTCGCCCCCAGCGAACACCAACTTGACGGCAGAGTCCGGTCCGAAGCTCTTGGCCCTCATCAAGCACAATCAAACAAATGTGCAAGCCTTACTTGCCACTATGGTCAAAGACAATGATTTCATCTACCACCAGCCAGTCCCCAATGAGGCTGGTCTCTCACCAGTTGCCAGGGTTACTGCTGCCAAGCCGATTGAGGTTAGCGAATTGTACCAAGGACAAGATATTAAGGAAATTACTGGGGAAACTATCTTCAAGAAGCTGGTGCCTTTGGAGGTAACTGAGGTCGTCAGTCTTTACTCTGAAGAAAGAGCCAAGTTGGTTCGAGCGGAAGATGAAAAGGCCAGCACTGCCAGCAGTGAGATGAGGGCTAGCTTGCCCGTCCTAGAACTGCCAGGCTCTCTCGATATCTTGAAGGGAGGCATGAACCAGGTGTCAGTAGACGAGGAGTTCTGTCGCTGGTGTTCAGAGCTTGCTGGCCACAATCCCTTCCGCAGGGCATTCGACGAGTTGCAGGATCGCAAGCTAGAAGTACTATCCCAATTAGACCAGTGCTCAAAGCAGTTAGATCTGGAAGAGAGCGTGTGTGAGAAGATGCGATCAAAGTATGGAGCAGATTGGGGCCAGCAGCCCAGCTCTCGACTCAATACCACGCTTCGAGGGGATGTCCGATCGTATCGAGACACTGTCAACGAGGCCAGCGCAAGTGATTCTCAGTTGTCTTCCACATTTCGGCAGTATGAGAGCGATTTCGATGAGATGCGGTCTGCTGGCGAAACAGATGAGGCCGATGTTCTCTTCCAGCGAGCCTTGATCAAAGTCCGTTCGAAGCATAGCAAAAGCAAGGACGGTGTCATCAGTCCTGTGGAAGGTACTCTGCTAGATGATGTGTATGATGAGAGCGCCCCCTCTGTTGCAGAGCGGATTGCCAAAGTGGAGGGGTTCTTAAAGAAACTGAATCTCGTGGACCAAGAGAGGTTCCAACTGCTCAAAGATCTCAAAAAAGCGGTTAGTAGCCTAGCGTATCTGTTCACGACGACTTTCTGACTCTCTGTTACTTTAGGTCCACGACGAGAACATTTCGGACCTCAACGAACTCGTGCTTCTAAACCTAAAGAAGATTCGCGGCCACGAACAGGCCTTCTTCAAAGCGCAATTGGAAAAGTTCCTGCCATATCAGAGCAGACTTGTGAAGGCGAATTACAATCAATCATATTTGATGAAAGAACTCAACAAGATACACGATGACCTTCGTCAAGACAAAAGATTTCAATCCGAGAAGTCGAAGTACGAGTCTATAACAAGACAACGGAACTCCGTGCTAGCTCGATACAAGAAGGTCTACAAAGCATTCCATGATCTCTCATCGGGTATCAAGCAGGCACGAACTTTCTACAAGGACATGGGTGAAAATGTCGACAGCCTCCGCAAGAATGTCGAGACCTTCATCAACAACCGCCGGTCAGAAGGCGCGCAGCTTCTTAGTCAGATTGAGCGCGACAAGGGTATGGGCAAAAATGTCGACAGTCTCCGCAGGAATGCCGAAGCCTTCAACAAGAACCGCGAGCAGTCTAGCGGTGTCTCAGAGCAAGAAGATCGCGAGCGAGAGAAGCTGCGCCAGCTGATGGAGCGCCTATCAACGGAACCCAAGAACTCATCAACTTTACCCTCCGCAGCGTCAGCAAAACCGCCTTCAAAAGTCAAGTCACCACCCCCGCCAGTTCAGACGCCGGCGTATGGAACCACCGGTCCATCCCCAAAGCCGTCCCCTTCCTACCCGCCCACCGTGCCAGGCGTGCCCCTCTCGCAGTCCCCAGCGCCCTACGGGCAGTACATGGGAGGTGGTCTAGGAACTTACCAAGCCCAGCATTTCCAGCAAGGCGCCGCAGCTCCCCTATCCGAGGGCTACAACCCCATGGCATATCCTTACCAGACTCCCGTGTCCCCACCCCCGAGCCAGCAATTCTTCTCTCAAACCCCCGCCCCGTACGGCGGCTACTCAAACTCCGGTACGCCGGCTCCTGGCGCTGGCCCTCAGCCCTCGCACTATATAGCTCCCCAGGGCTACATCCCGCCTCCACCTCCGCCGCGCCCACAGCAGACAACCTACCCTCCTACAGCAGGAGGTGTATACCCCTCTGGTCCTGGTGGCTATGCGCAGAGCAGACAGTATGGGCACCAGAAGACCCCCTCGCAGTCGCAGTCGCAGTCTGGTTCCTCCGCCGATCCGTGGGCTGGTCTCAACGCCTGGAAATGAGCTTGACTTACCTGTATCTGAGATATTGCTAATACTGGCTACGCGGCAGGGTGGAATGGGCTCGATGCGGTTGGACCTAGTTGGCAAAATGTGACCATGGAACCTGTATCTAGAAGGGAGACATATGTTGCTTTGAGCTCTCCCTGGATTGATTCTTTGGTGTTCCGCGGGTTTTTATTACTTTGTCTGAACTGCTTCGTTTAGGTGGCTTTTGTCCTGCTCTCACCTTCAGGTTGGATCCCTCTGTATTTTCTGCCCTCTGTGCTTACTGGAGAAGACATGCATGCTTTTTTGTAAATGAGAAATGAAATATATATACTAGTAATTAGGGTCCTGCGCTCTCAATTTAAGGTTCCTTCAACGCGGTGCTCCCGATATTGAATGACGTATATAGTTATTTTGCGTGAATATTCGATTATGATAAATTGTGACCGTTTAATTGAGCAAGTCTTAATTGACGTGGAGTTGTAGGTGTTGATAATGTGTGGTGCCCGAGCAGCAGGTCTTGTGTATATGTACCCTTCATCTATCAACACACACACTCTCGATAATTCCGTACTGGATTATTTCATGTGATAGAAATGGCCACAAAATATAAGAACGTTCGCCACTGAAAAGGACACATTAGAGGAGTGTAGCTGCGTTTTGCACAATTATACAGTTATATGATATGCAAAGTATACATAGTAGAAGAGAGTCCGCATCCGCAACTTGCAAACCGAGGAAAATAAACCAACCAAGTTCAACACACTGAACGCCAATGGGTATCTTAATATATCACAAGAGAACAGGCCACCAGATCCTTCGAAGCAAGGCAACCCAGTAAGCCACACACGCAATGTATGTTCACTGCACCGGCCCGAGCACGCCGTCAACCAGGACGGGCTAACACCAGAACGGCGGGATATGGGATAGAAGACTCATAGCTTCATCGCAAGCCCTGTATAATCCTAGTTCCCTGCTACCAAGGGAAAGAAAAGAGCAAGAGACAAAAGCAAGACTCACTCCTCACCTTACGGCTGAAACCGCAACCGGAACTGCCTCCCTCTCCTGTCCTCACGGACAGTATACAAAAACCGCGCAATGGTTTCCTGCTCTGAGAGACCAGCGCTGTTAAAGTGCTTCCGGACAACAAGCGCGAACTGATCTTTGCTCACGCGGTCCTGGCCGACGGTGTGGCGCAGCGTCGAGTCGGAGAGGGAGTCTGAAGAGGTGTTGGTTCGGTGGGAGTGGGAGTGGTTCTGTGATGAGGAGCATTGAGCTCGGCGGGCGGCGAGGGAGGTTGGCGAGCGAAGGCCGACGCCTTGCGAGAGGATCAGGCGGGAGTAGTCGCTCGAAAAGGCGGAAGGCGTGGGGAGTTTGTGGACGTGGCGGTAGGAGTGGAGGATTTCGAGGGGAAGGTCCGTCCAGGGGAGCTGTAGAAGGGAAAAAGTGATTAGTTTATGGTCTCTTAACTGTGATGTGTGTAGAGTTGCGATTGATCAATCTCTTTCAGGATGGAACATACTCGGGGCTGTTCCTCGGCGTGCTGGTTGTCCACGACAGGCGCGCTGGTAACTGAGGCTTTCTCTTTTGCAGCGGCTGGTCTGCGGGACTTGGTGGCTTTGTGGTATTCTCTCGTGCCGCTCGAGGCTTCGGACCTCGAGTCATCCACGATAGCTGTGGTGCGCTGGCGCGGGGGTGCCATTGCGTCTCAGAGCTCGAGGCTGGAGGGATATTGGAATGGGGGCGTTGTCCAATGTCTAGAATTTGGATTGAGGGGTTGCTGATAGGATAAAACCATACAGGGACTCACTGTATAACGTAATTTGGTGGATGGTCCTCTTAGTCTGGACTTGAGACTTGAGATTCTCGTGTCGCCGGGCGGCCGGGTGTGGCAGAAACGTCATTTCTGCTTCTAGTTTAGTGTCTGAGGCGAACCTTGGAAAGCAGAGATAGGAGTAATCACGGAGAGTATTTCCTAATTGGGTAATACCCCCCGTCTGTGTCACACCAAAGCTTACCTGAATTGCTGTTCTGAGGCCCTGGAGGACTTTTCTATATATTGATATGCTCACTTTTTTCATATTTGCATTCCATGTTAACCCACATATGCCGCAGAGTAACCCCATATCAGTTTGTCGCATTCTGCCAGGTTCCCTCGCCTCCATCTACAGTGATGGTGCATAATTTTTGAGCACCCCTTTCCGCTACCGCCTTCCTGGAAAGTTATACCGCCTACTTAAATAGTCTTAAATAGTCGTATCGACCATAATTGTAGGTCTTAGGTTGGTGGGATTAGGGCAGGCAGAATAGGGGTGCTCAAACTTATGCACCGTCACTGTATTTGTCGAAAAGTATACTCACTGACATTTCTAGTCCCAGCCAGTTAATGCATAGCAGTTTTACGGTCTACATCCTTTGCTCTAACATCAATACCTCTCCCATCAAATAAAAGCCTAATAGTCGCATTTTGCGCCTGTCGCTGGATTCTATTAATGGCTGTGGTTTTCGTGTGCCATTTCCCTCTAGGGTTGGAAATTGCATACATATGTATGTAGCGGATTTGGCATTCCTTAGGGAAACCACCTGGAATCACGGTGCGGGCGCAGTGTCTACTGTTTGCAACAACTGGATCGTAAAATACAATTTCATTGGTGGTAGAAGGCAGCAGAGCAACGTGAAGTAGTGTATGTCCTGAGCTGTTGTTCATACACAGCTAAACCCGCCTGGGATAAAATCTGCCAACTATGAAAGGAGATCTGGATCATGGTGCGTTTGTAAAGTGCGGGGCATGGGCATGGAAGGTTGGCATTGAGCTGAGGGTGAAATAGTACACTCTAGTACCGTCAAAGCCCGTCTCACCGCAAGTCTTTGCCTGGGGACATTTGCCTCCGTCCAAAAATGAGGAAACTCAGGATGCGGCTCGTTGAGCTCCGCCTAGGTTAAAGGACAAACTTGTTGATTTGCCTTTCTTTTCTGCTTGTTCTAAGACGACAGCAGCGAGCACACATCCTAACGCTCAAAACATTGTCTTTAAAATGGCAGCCACAGATGAACTAGACTAAACAATCCACTGTATCCCTTAGGATAATATCGTTGGGATCCACATCCGCATTTAAAGGAAGTGAAACATTATATTGCAGATTGGCGCGAATGGCAGCTGTCAGGGGATATTCAGGAAGAATATAAATCGCCCCAGATATGGCCCAACTTGGCCATAGAGTTTCTACTTGTTTACGTTTTCAAAAAAGCGATATTCCATCTGTGCTATATGCTATATGGTAGGCCAAAATAACTCCGAGCAATGCGGGGTTGAATTTCTCTGTAGCACCAATAGCCAGGGCTTTATCCTGATGAACCCAGTCGTGCTCATCGAGAGAAAACTGACCCATGGGGGAGAATGCTTGGATATATATGACTACAGAGGGGGAAAAGGGGGGAAAGGGAGATACGTATGTTAACTATGTAGGTAAGTTGAGTCGTACTCCAGGGCTCTTTCCATTTCTGGGGAGATGTCGCTTAGACGAATTAGCCAACCTTGGTAAGGACTATGTACCCATGTAGCAGGAGAAAAAAAGGAGTTTTCTGTTTCAGATGTTGATATTTCTTAAAAATAATAGGTCAAATTTCATCTGTGGAATTCCTCGTTGGTTCAACTGCCTATAAACGAGTCACGTCGGGTACAATGTCTCTAATACGGCGGATAGGTCTGCTCCCTATAGAATGACACCGCGATAGAGATTACATATAGCCTAATATGTTACATGTGACGACTAATTTATATGAAATTCCCAGTACTCACCATGACCATAGATATCGAGGTGGTCCTTGCCTTAATCGCACCTGCCCAAACAAACCGTAATGGCTTTATAATGTAAATGCCCCATTTTGTCTCTTCTTTTATCCTCTGGCCCCTAGCTGATATATGACGGTCGGTTTTAGTTCCTCACTAGCATTGTTCGTTTTGCTATATTCCCAAAGCTACGTTGGTCAATCTCCCCGAACGCCGTGAAGGGGGTCGTTGGATGCACTACAACGATCACTCGTACGAATCCGACGTCAAGGCTTCTGGCTAGACGGTGCACATCGTAGATGTTGCCTCTGGCTTCTTGGTTGGCAAGCATCACCACCTTTACAAGGTGCAGTATGAGCGATCGCAAAGGCCTATGCCTACACATACTTGGGATGGGATCTGAGCTGGCAATAGTGGCCCCACACTCTTAGATCGGTGTCTAGGGAGGAGCTTGGCGGCACTTCAAGCCTGTACCTCTAGTGCGTGTAGAGGTCCTTTAGGCACCCCATCATGGCTGTATAGTATATCTGTGGTTATGGAGGGGTGCTGTGCAAGAATGCGTCTTTATACTATTCATAGAATTAGATCTGCGCAAGCAGAAGAAAAGGAGTTGTGGCTGTATTCGCATCAGATGCCATCCTACCTAGTCTTTGTTGCAGTAGTCATCTCGTATACCTTTCCTTGTAAAGGTGGGAAAGTTTGCCAACCAGCTAGCTTGGGGCGACGTATTCGAGTTGTGCATTATCTAGTCAGGGGCCTTGATCTCCTTTTCAAGGGCTCGTATGAGAGATCTCTGGCGTCCATCGAAGCCCCCTTCATGGCGTCGGGGGGGATTGATCAACGTAGCTTTGGGGACATAGCAAAACGAACAGTGCTAATGGGGAATTAAAACGAATCGTCATATATCAGCTAAGGGCCCAGGGAGAAGACCAGAAGAAAAGGTTACCGCGAACAAGAGTTGCGCATAAATGCTTCCAGCAGAAACTGACCAGCCGGCGTGTCGTAGCCTCATGATATGTCTGTAACTCGATATGGAATGAACGTCCGATCAAATTAGGGTTGCCACTTCTATCTCTGGTGAGCTTTAGGGTCTCGTCTTCTATAAAGGGGAAATAATTAAAGTCATGATTAAAGTGATTAAACTCTATATGCCGCTTTTTATAGAGGCCAAGAACTGACTGATTGTCGATGAAATTAGAACAACCCTAGAGAGTCTAGCGAGTTC